TTTTTTTGTTCTGTTTCGTTTTACCATGTGTAGACATGTATCTCTTGGGAACGGATTAATCACAATCCCTGCGAAAGACAAATGGAGAGTCCAGAGAATGATCCCAGCTTTCAACAGTTATGGTACCAGGCACGGAGCACTGGGCTGAGAGCTGGTTCAGGAGGTTCGAGGTCAGTCACTGAGTACTCAGCCAAAGCCCCTCCCACATCTTACTCTGCACATCCCTTTGGACAAACCTGTAAACATAAACTGAAGACAGCACAGGTCCTCCCAGCTGCTAAGCTCTCGCTGTCAAAAGATGCTGCCATTTAAGGCAATTACTCTCAGGTGGCTTTGGTGGCCTAACCAGGATCCCACACATAATAGTCTTCAGTTCCCCTATTATAGCACATTTGCCCTGATATAACTTTATCACTTTATAGAGGTAGAGTGTATATATAAACATAAACTAACTCTAACCCATGAACATGGACTTATTGTTAAAGAATATGTTGAACAGTTGGAACCACAGAGGTCTTGCAGCATTTACATTATTTCAAAACAAACCCAAGACTTTGATTAAGGTTAGCTTTAAAAATTGTTACAGTCTCCGCAGCATTGTAAGCTGTGCCATAATGTTAGTAACTTCTCCAAGAACTCACCCCCATGGGAGCAGGCATCCAGCCTAATGGTTAAGATGCCCACGTCCTCCACCAGAGTGCCTGGGTTCAATTCTCAGCTCTGGGTCCTGACTCCAGTTTCCTGATAATGCAGACAGCAGTGGAGTTGCTTCAAGTGACTGGGTTCATGCCAACCTTCTGGCTTCAGGCCTGGCCCAGCCCCAGCCAAACCAGCAGATAAGAGCTCACTCTATCTCCTCTCAAAAAAAAAAAAAAATCACCCATAGGATAATTCTTCCATGGAACAGACATAATTGTACTTCAGTGACCCAGGGCTAAGCTCTAACTCTCTGTTTTGAAAGTTTCTGTGTTGTGGAAAATCAAAAGCATTTTGAAAGCTAATTGAAAGCTAATGGGGGTGGGGGCACACTACAGTGCAGCGATTAATGCCAGCACCTGCACCGCCATCATCCCATATGGGCACCAGTTCGAGTCCAGCTGCTCTACTACTGATCCAGCTGACAGAAGACCTCTCTCTCTCTCTCTCTCTCTCTCTGCTTGTCGCTCTCTGTAACTCTGCCTTTAAAATAAATAAATAAATCTTTAAAAAAAAAAAGAAAGCTAACAGGCAAGGATAGGGACAGAATACTTCCATTAATTTTTAACAGAGCAAAACACCAGTGTATGCATTGAGTGAGAAAGTTCATGCACCTTTCTTAGGAATTACAACAAGAAGTCTTCAAAAAGCTCATGAAAAATGTGTATGATGAAAATTTCAAAAAATTGCCCCAAAATAAATTTTAAAAACCCTTTATTTACTTTTCTTTAAAAGATTTATTTTATTTATTTGAGAGGCAGAGTTACAGAGAGAGGTCTTCTATCCGCTGGTTCACTCCCCAGATGGCCGCAGTGGCCGGAGCTGCGCCGATCCGAAGGAAGGAGCCAGGAGTTTCTTCCGGGTTTCCCATGTGGGTGCAAGGGCCCAAGCACTTGGGCCATCTTCTACTGCTTTCCCAGGCCATAGCAGACAGCTGGATTGGAAGAGGAGCAGCCGGGATTAGAACTGGCACTTCAGGCCAGGGCTTTAACCCAAAAACCTTTATTTACTTTCATTTATTTATAAGACAGAGAGACAGAGACAAAAAATTTTTTTCTGTTGATTCATTCTCCAAATGCTCACAACAGGTGAGGCTTGATTTGGTTGCAGCCAGGAGCCTTGAACTCAATCCAAGTCTCCTGTGTCAGGGACAAGGACTCAACTATTTGATCCATCACTCGCTGCCTCCCAGACTGCATGTCAGTAGGAAGTTGGAGCAGAAGTGGAGGCAGGACTAGAACCTAGGCGTTCCAATATAGAACGCAGGCATCCAAGTGGTGCCTTAACTGGTGCACCAAACTACCACCCCCTATAAACCTCTAATTTTTTATTTATTTAAGAGGCAGAAAGAAAAAGCATGTAGGAGTAAGAGCTGGAACTGGGAATCAAACCCAAGCACTCCAATATGGGACACAGGCGTCTTTAACTGCTAGGCCCAAAGCCCACTCCTCCATGAACGTTTTGAAGTATGTTCATATGTGGTACAAAATCTAGACATGTGAGAGCTACTTTGATTTGTCTTAAATGAACTGTATGAGTTTTTGTTTCTATTTTTGGTAAATTATGGATAGAAATGATCAAAATTGGGAAAACTCCACAGAGGCCTAAGTCCTCATCTAACAGATCAGTTTGTAGATTTATGGCATAGTAACTCCTTCCCCAAACCAAAAAGTGTGCCCTAACAAGTAGAGGCCACAAACTCAGGAAGGCAGCCTGAAAACTCTCTTTCTTTACAGGTCTTCAAAATCTGCCACCACCAGACCTAGCCAAAGGTTCTCAATGACTTCTTTTTAATATTTATTTTTTATTAATTTGAAAAACCAGAGTGACACAGAGGAGGGGGAAAAGACAGAGAAAGAAACAGAGGGACCTTCCCTCCATGGATTGATTCACCAGATATCAGCCAGGGCTGGACCAGTTTGAACCCAGGAGACTGGAACTCTGTCCAAGTCTCCCATGTGGGAGCAGGAGCCCAAGCACTTGGGCTATCTTCCACTGTGTTCGCAGGAGCATTAACAGGGAGCTGAATCAGAACTGGAGCAGCCAGGACTCATTCAGCCACTGCATCTAATGTGGGTTGTTGGTGGTGGCTTAACCTGCCACGCCACACTAGTTCCCTCTATGACTCCTTAAAAGCTTCCCCATCCGATGTTGGTTCAAGATTAAAGCAGAATTAAATAGACAGGGGGAGAGCTGTACCCAGACTCTCTCCATCTGCGGGTGCACTCCCCAAATGGTTACAACAGCCAGGGCTGGGCCAAGCTGAAGCAGGAGCTTCATCCAGGTCTTCCACGTGGGAGGCAGTGACCCAAGGACTTGGGGCCATCTTCCACTGCCTTCCCAGGCTCACCAGCCGAGAGATGCATGGGAAGTGGAGCAGCCAGAACTTGAACCAACACCAATGGTATGCCAGCGTTGTCGGCGGCAGCTGAACCTGATCCACCACACTGCTGGCCCCTAACATTTTCATGGACTGTTAACTCCACTGCTTCCCCTGCTATTTTAGCGCATTTATGTAAGGACAAATTTAGGAGTAAAAGCACATTTGGTACCTGGCTATTTGGGTTTTCTGTTTGTTTTATAATTTCTTGATTCTGTTAATAGTTGTGTAACTTTCTTTGGAAAAATTCTTTTTCTATGATTCAGTTCCCTCATTGTAAGATGGGTAATACCGTTTGAGTACCCCTTATCTGAAAAGCTTGGGGTCAGTGGTTAGATTTTGGATGTTTTTCAGAATCTGGCAATTTCCGTATACATCATGAAGTCTCTTGGGGCCGGAGCCCAAGTCTAAATACCTAATTCATTGATGTTTCTTGTATACATAGCTCCATTTTGATTGCAACCTGTCCCGCAGTCAGGTTGGAATTTTCTATGTGGCAATCTGTCACGGCTCAGAAAGATTCAGGTGTTGGATACTCAGCTTGTAATAGTAATTAGCTTGCAAAGTTCTCCCGAAGTTGAAATAACTTAGCCTGTAGCAGACATGCTAATGAACGTGGCCACCTGTGCTTGCTAGGTACCTACCACTTCCCAAGATCCAGTTACTCCCTTTATCCCTTTGTCTACACCAAACAAGGATGCCTCTTGGTGCCGGAGAGTAATTTTGGTGGGATCAAGTGCACCTTCAATGCCTCCTGCTGCTCTTGGACATGGAAAGCGCCGTTTCAAGGCCGACCTCTGTTTCCAACAGCGGCTGCCTCACCTGGGGAAGGCGCGCAGCGCCTGTCTTTGCTCTCAACTGGCGGGTTGAGGCCCAGCAAAAAGTTTCCTTTTCGGTAATTACACAGGTCAGATTCAAGGAGTTAATGCGAATTTAGGACAACGTGTCGCAGTGGAGGGAAAAACGGCGGTAACGCTAGGTTCCCTCCCCAGGAGGAAGGACGGCACGTCCCCGCTCGGCGGCATCTCCAGCAAGCCACCGCCCAGGGTTCCCACGGAGCTCCAGCGCCGGGGCCCCAGGAGCACCGCCCGCCCTGCACCTGAGGCTGACCCTGACAGAGCCGGAGCCGGTAGGGCCTCTCTGAGTGCGACAGCCTGCAGCCTGCTCCCCTGGGAATCGGAGGCAGTTTTACCAGCCAATGCGCTGCCTCACCTGTAAGTCAAGGCAGTGTTGCCTAGCTCATAGTGATTATAAAGGACGTTTATAAAACATTTCACTAGATATTAAATTATCTTAGGAGACTGCTGTTAGCGTAACGTTCCTGGTGGAAGGGATGCTCTGAAAGCGAACACTTCATCTCACTTATGGAAGCGGAAGGAACCTTTCCCACCGACTCTGAACTTCTTGTCGGAGGCAAAAAAGCCGCAGCTCCCCTTTCCTTTAAAGACGCAGCCCGAAGCTCCGCCCAGTACGGAAAGCGAAGGGGCCTGGGGGAGGAGCGTGTTCGCCGGCTCCGTCTGGCAGACCTTAGAAATCGCCGACCCCAGTACAAGTAATGCTACAGGTGAGGTTCCTAGAGGGGTAAGGGGAACCGCCGCGGGGCACCTGGTCTGAGGGGACGTGCCCGCAGTGGAAGCAACAGAGCGCTCGGCTGTGTCCCAGAAAGGTCGGCGACACCCTGTCCCGCCAGGCCGCGGGCGGCCCAGCCCTTGCAGACCCTGCGGCGGGGCCTGCGAGGTTCGGCCTTGCAGTAACGCCGCCTTCGGGCTTAAGCCGCAGCCCGAGCTTCCGCAGGCCACCAGACCTAGACGCACCGCTGCTTCCCCGGTGCCCCCCTTCTTCCGCCCCGACTTGCCGACCCGCCGGACGCGCGCGTACGCACGCACGTTGTGCGTCCCGCCGCGCGCTGTGGGCTCCGGCGGCGGGTGGGGGCGTGGCCATCACCGCGGCACGTGACCGGACCAGCCCCGCCCACGAGCGCTGGCAGCGCTGCCGTACCTGTGCCCGTTTGTGGATGGATCAGGATGTGCAGGGCGAAAGGCCGGGCGAGGGCGTGTTTCGTACTGCCTGTTGCCGCCTGAGTGTGAGATTTTATTTTATTTATTTACTTTTTATCTCGTTTACCATTATGCTGGGAAACGTGTTTTCTTACTGAGCAGCCGCGGTTCCCTGTCCGTGTTAGGAAAGGCCCCAGGCCCCGGGGGTGGAGGGCATGAACTGACAGCCAGCTGTTCGGTATTGTTCAGGCCCAGCGCGGGAATGAATAAATGCGGTTTCACAGAGCTTGCCGTGTGGTGGGGGGAGCTGTGGTAATGACATCGTCGTTACAGTTGCGCCAGGTGGTGTCCGGGAGTGGACCGTGGACGCCTGGGTGTTGGGCGCAGCAAATGGGGCAGGAGGCACTGATCTGGCCCCTGGAACACCGATGGAAGAGGCAGTTTGGAGGTCCCGAGGCCCACGGATGTGGTGGCAAGAGATGGCCGAGGTGGCCGTGGGTGTGCCGAGAAGTGGTGGGCTCGAGCGGGATTTGGGGAGTCCCATCGTGAGACTGGGTGTTTGTTCAGCTGGACCACGATGCTGGTGACAGAGAGGGAGTCCAGGGAGAGCACGTGACCTGCTGGGCGCCTAACAGTCCAAGCACGAACGCTGAGTTAGCTCCGAGTGTAAGTGCTTTAAAAAAATTCTTTCTAGATGGTTATGAAGTAATTTTAACTTCGCAGTTGCAGACTATGCTGAAGGAATTGGCTTTTTTCCAGCGTTCTAAATGGAGTCCTAGCGTGACCTTACCATGGAGAGCGCCTGTGCTGAGTGTGGAGGAGCAGAGCCAGAGCCCAGCGAGCGCAGCAGGGAGGCCCGGTGACCCTGGGCCGGTCCTGGGGAGTTGAGGCCGCACAACCCAGGCCGCGCTGGGGCAAAAGGGACAGTTTGCAGGCAGAGGCAAGGGCTTTAGGAAACTTGTTTGGAAGGTGTGAGAATTCTTCAGAGTTACAGGAACTGGCAAAATTAAATTTCACAAGTATTTAGTCTATTAGAATCTTTGTAAACTTTTGCAGATTAATTTATTTGAGAGGCAGATAAATAAAGAGTGAGATTCTGTCTGCTTGTTCAGTCCCCAAATGCCCATGACAGCCAAGGCTGGCGGGGCCAGACAAAACCAGAAGCCAGCTATGCTGTTTACATTGTCCTTGTGTGTGGCAGGGACCCAACTACCTGAACCATCACCTGCTGCCTCCCAGGGTCTGCATCTGCAGGAAACTGGAGTCAGGAACTGGGCATCAAACCGGATGTTCTAACCCGGAGCACGGGTGTTTTAGCTTCTAGGCCAAAAGCCTGCCCCAGTGTACCTTTGAGCCAAACTCCCTGGAAAGAATGGCTACCAATATGAGCTTATGACTATCAGCTACAGGAAAGAACAGGGAGTGAATAAATAACAAAAGTTACTTGTATCTCTTCAGTCTACATAGTTTCAAAAAGCATGCAAGCAATTTAACTTCTTACAAGGTGGTGGTGCTCCCTACCTGGTCATGCCTTACGACCATATCCACTCCAGTTCTATAAATCCTCTCCCCGCAAGTTTCCTTACAGACACGTTAGTGTACCATGAAAAAGAGAAAATAATGTATCCTGAGCATGCAGCTGTCCTTTGTAGCAGTAACAAGAAGTCACTTCCAGGTGGTTTAAGAATGTTCATGGCAGCTTCATTTATAAAAGCCAAAAACTGGGAAACTAGAGTTTTAAAACTGTGCTATGTTCATATACTGGTGGCACTTTCAGTAATAAAAGGAACACACTAATGCTACATGCAACATGGGGGAATCATGAAAACATGCTGAGATGCCTTACAACCTTTGATTCTGTTTATCTAAAGTCTTAGAACACACAGTGCTAGAAAAAGAAGTCTCGGCGCTTCCTGGTGGAGATAGAGAATGACTTTGGAAAAGGCACGGAGGGAATTTCTGGATCATGGTGTTCTATGGGTCAGTAGGAGTTTTGATTACAGAAGTGTATGAGCTTTTCACAACTAATCAGTCAAATGCTATGTGTAAGATTTATCTCATTGTAAGTAGATTTTGCCTCAAAAGAAACAAAGAATCAAACAACATTGAGCTCTAGCTAATGCTTTGCATTCTAAAGTGTTTGAGGATGAGGGGTGCTGATGTCTGTAACTTTCTCAGAAATGTTCAGAACAAAAGTAAAATGAATGGAAAGAGAAAATAAGTGGACAAAGCAAGGGGAGCAGTTAGTCGTAGGATCTCGGTGGCAAGTGTCTGTTCACTGTGAAGACTTCCAGTTTATCTGTGTGTTTAAACATTTTTGCAATGAAATGTTGGGGGAAACTGTCCCCCAAATAATGTTCGTTCATTTTAGACAGCTGAAGACTAACATGAAAATATAAAATGCGGGGCTTGCACTGTGGCACAGCAGGTTAATGCCCTGGCCTGAAGCACCGGCATCCTATACGGACACCGGTTCGAGTCCCGTCTGCTCCACTTCCTATCCAGCTCTCTGCTGTGGCCTGGGAAAGCAGTGGAAGATGGTCCAAGTCCTTGGGCCCCTGCACCCACATGGGAGACCTGGAAGAAGCTCCTTGCTCCTGGCTTCAGATCGGCACAGCTCTGGCTGTTGCGGCCATCTGGGGAGTGAACCATTGGATGGAAGACCTCTCTCTTTCTGCCTCTCCTCTCTTCTCTCTGTGTAACTCTGACTTTCAAATAAATAAATCTTTAAAAAAGAAAATATAAACCACACTCCTAAGCTCACCTGAAATACACAGTATATGAAGATAGACACATATTTCATAATTTCTCACTTTATGACTTAGAATCCTAAATCATTTAAATTTTTATGAAATACATGGATCAAACGTTAAAACTACTCTTATGTGATCGTGTGCTTTTGGAATAATTCAATTGGCATTTCTTGTTTATCATCCTAGAAAAGTTAGCGGTGATGCCAGAGGGGCATCTGCATTCCTTTTGGAGATTCTCAGTGATCCAACCTCAGGGAAATAAGGAACAGGTAAAATTGTGTATTTCCTCAGTGTGGCGTCAGCTGCTGAGCCCAACCAGGACATGCAGACTCGGGCGGTGCAGCATGGTTTTGATTGGGTCCGAATCATCATCAAATGGATATCTCATCAGATCAGTGCATTGTAAGTAATTGGCTCTTGAGATAATCGGCTTTTGGAATATTATGATGCCTCCGAGAACATAGTCGTGGAAGTCGGAATGCAGCGAGTACCCCACTGTTGTGCTAAGGACGCAGCATTGTTACTGTGGTTGACCCGCCGGGCTCTTCAGCCTGACGGGGCTATCAGGACACCCACCGCCTCAGAGCTCATGGCTTCCTGGCTTATGGCAGCCTAGAGCATACCGGTACTGTGTGTGAGCGTAAGCCATCTGTGAGCCCACTCACAGTGCTTTAATGCTCACTCACTCAGATGTCATTTTTATTGGTTCCTCCCAGGAGAGGCGCGAGGAAGCACGTGTGTTTGATGCTGAGGCCCTGGTGGAGACAAGCTAGTCCCTGACTGACCGCTAAGTGGCTGGTCCCACTGCACACCAAAACCGTCCCCGTTTGTGGTGCTGAGACACCTTTAGGCTTTGCTTTGATGAAAACCAGGTGGAGAAACAAAGGCAGTATGTGAGTGCATGACCAAAAGATTCAGGATTTTATGTTTATGGAGCTCATTATTTATAGATCACTTAGACATAAGCTTGAAACAATGCAGGGGATATGTTTTTTAAGATGCACAAACCCAGAGTGCTAATTTATTAAATTACAGTGAAATACAGGACTTATGTAGACTGGAACACTCACTGGTGTTACTAGTGGATTTTTTTTGTTCTTCCAGGCTATTTAAAAACTTTAATTATGAAAAAATGCCAGCTAGTATCAAAGTTTGTTTGCCATAAACAGTCTTTTTTTTTTTTTTTAAATAAATGAAGGAAGCAGAAAGCTTTTTTCTTCCATTTAAAGTGCGACAGGAATGATGGTGAAGGAGGAAGCGTAGTGGGTGCAGCCAGGTCACTGAGGAACAGGAGGCCATCCTGTGGGCCTGGCATTTACTCAGTGTGAAAGGAGCAGTGGAGGGCCCTGAGCAGGGGGCGTGGTCTAACACAGACACTTCACAGGTTCTGCGGGGTGCAGGGGTAGAGGCAGAGGTGGGGAGAGTGCTGCCTCTGTGATTAATGAGACGCTGGCGGTTAACAGCAGGGTGGTGGCAATGGAGGTGGTGAGCAGTGTTTGGATCCTGGTGTATGTCACAGGCTGCTCTGAGCACTGGGATTGCTGATCTGTTGCTTTGAGCAAACAGAAGACTTGCCGTTGTCTGAAACGGGGAGGACTGGGGGCAGGCGAGGAGCAGGTTTGGGGTGGAAGATAAGGCATTGAATTCTGGATGCGTTCACTTCGGGAGGAGAGATTTGCTGGAGCCACACTCCCAAGTGTTGGGTGTTACGCTAGGTAAGGAGGGAAGTAAGAATAGGCACGTCTGTCACTGTTCAGTTCACTATTTCTTTTTCGTATCACTCACCAACGTGAGTGGTGGGTGAGACAGGGTAGGATTAGTGGGATCAAAGCCAGGGACGGGGGATTTCAGTTGCAGACACCACAGGTGACACAGGGTCCATTCTCAGGCACTGCCTTTTTCCCTCATTCACCTTTGACAAGTCACACCTCTCAGTCTCTGCCTCTCTCAAACTTCTCAGCAGACCCTAGGTGAGATGAGTGGGTCATCTCGTCACCCCTCCAGCCTGTGCCTCTGAGATTCGCCAGATGTGTGCACTGAAGGAAAGAAACTTTACTGTGATAGAGAAAAACTGGAGAGTCCAAGTTTCATTTACAGGCTTTGAAATTCAGTCTTAACAAGCATGGAGCAAAGGCAGTATCACCACATGTGTCTGAGCTCATTTAACATCCCCCGTACCTGAAGTGTGATCTTCATATTTCATGAGGCTGGAAGTTTATTTCAGGGTATCTCTTCTGACAGTCTCAATGTTTCTTTCTTTCTTTTTTAATTTTTATTTGAAAGGCAGAGTTACAGAGAGGCAGAGGCACTCTGGTTCATTCCCTAAATGGCCACAACTGCTGGAGCTGAGCTCATCCAGAACCAGGAGCCAGGAGCCACTTCCAGGTCTCCCATGCGGGTGCAGGGCCCAAGGATTTGGGTCATCCTCCAGTGCTTTCCCAGCCCATAGCAGAGAGCTGGATCAGAACTGAAGCAGCTGGAACTCAAACCGGCGCCCATATAGGATCCAGCACTGGAGGCAGCACCTTTACCCACTATGCCACAGCACTGGCCCCTCAATTAGTTCTTCCTGTGGGTCATCTTCCTTCCTGGAAAATCCCTTTTCCCATAATAGTGTTCTTATCTTTTGTGTAGCATCAGTTATTGATAACTTGGTAGCAGGTAATTGTGTTGGAAGCTTGTGCCTTGGTGTTTATGAACCACCAAGCATTTTGTGTATACTGCCTCTTTATAAGTAAACCCTGGGGATGGCATTTGCTTTTGGAGTGAACACTGCAAGATCCTTGGGAAATACAGTTGCATGAGACAAAAATGTGTGCACATCTGGCTGATGGTAGCAACCACTTGTGCTGGGGACAGTGCCACCACGAACCTGGCTGGCCAGGGTCACCCAGCGTCCACCTTCTGAAGAGCATGTCTATAACCTTCACAGGTGACATATTCTTCGCAGCCTCCTGCATGCCCTGCCATGTACCACAGTACCAGACCATGGGGAGAAATTCATATTAATTAACTTTTCTCACTGTGTTCCCAGGATGGCTGCTGTTCTCAAGCGGTTGATACTGCAAACCGTGAAATCTGAAAATAATTGCATTAGAAGATGCTTTGGTGAACACTTGATGCAAAAGACAGACCCAGCACAGTTGTCCCTGATTGCTTCTGCCCCAAGACCATCCTACCTACCTCACGCAAAAGCTTTTAGTACTGCTGAAGACACTCAGGCTGAGAGAAAAAAGACAAAAAAGAATGAAACTAGTTTTAGTAACGTTGGAAGAAAAATTAAGGAGCGAATCATTCACGTCCTTGACGAGAAGGGCAATGATTTGGGAAACATGCACCGAGCCGAAGTCATCAGGCTCATGGATGAGCGAGACCTGAGGCTGGTACAGAGGGACGCCCACGCTGAGCCCCCCGAGTACCAGCTCATGACGGGCCTCCAGATCCACAAGGAACGCCTGCGGCTCCGCGAGATGGAAAAGGCTCAGCCCAAAGCTGGTAGGTCTCCTGCTGTTTGCACCTGAGTCCTTGACTGCAAGTCAGAAGCTTAAATTCTCTTTGCCCAGGAATCTGTGACAGTGAAGAAATGGAAAACTGGAAATTCAGAAGACACAGGGTTCCACCACCAATCCCAGTGTCTTTTCCTTTCATCCCTCATTTATTTCCATTCCTGTTTCCCTTGATACCCTCTGTCCACTCTCTCTTCCTTTAAACCTGCAAGGTGAAGGCACCAGGGTGATGGAAACTTCCCCCTTGTCTCCAATGCTGCAGCTGGCAGCAGAGCTGAGAGAGAGATGACCTGAGTCGGAAGAGGTGGCTTCAGGCTCCTGTCCCATCTGTGCCACTCACTCACCTTCTCTCCTTTTTGTTTGTTTCCTGCATGTCTGAAGTGTTTAGTCCGTGAAATGGAAGCACTTTTTAAACTCTGAAGTGATGCTCAAGTGTTTCATTGCAATATGGGTAGTAATGCTCATTGACATATTTGGTCCATCACCTAATGAGACACTTGTCATTTAAGTCTGTAGAAGTCAGGAATTAGATATGAAATGTTTTTCTTCCATGGTTCCTAAAAAGTGTTGCCTGAGAAAACCACGTATGTGGCTCACTCCTCTAAAGCCACATCTAACAAGAATATTGTCTGAAAAAAAGAACTTTTCACAAGACCAACCAAGGGGATAAGGATAGCAAACTGTGTCATATTTAAAAAAGCTGAACAGACTGGAGAAGGTGGAAGGCATTACTTTGTTTTGATGGAGAACTAGGGCCAAGTTGTAGGAGCTCTAAGGAGGCAATAACTGGTTGTCTTTTTGTTGTTGTTGTTAAATATTTATTTATTTATTTGAAAAGTAGTTAGAAAAGCAGAGAGGTCTTCCATCCACTGGTTCACTCCCCAGATGGCCGCAATGCTGCCAGTCTGAAGCCAGGAGTCAGAAGTTTCTTTCAGGTCTCCAATGCAGGTGCAGGGGCCCAAGGATTTGGCCATCTTCCACTGCTTTCCCAGGCCATAGTAGAGAGCTGGATTGGAAGTGGAGCAGCCCAGACTTGAACCAGCACCTATATGGGATGCCAACATTGCAGATGGTGGCTTTACCTGCTATGCCACAGCGCTGGCCCTGCAATACCAGTTCTTAAAATTTTTTGTTTACTTTGGAAATTAAAAAACTTATGAAAAAAAATACACCCATCATCCAAAATGAACAAGAATTAACACTGCTCTATTTAAAAAAATGTTTGAAGATTCATTTATTTGAAAAGCAGAGTGACAGGATGAGAGGGAAAGAGAGATCTTCCATCCGCTGGTTCATTCCCCAAATGGCCACAATGGCCAGGGCTGGGAGCGGCTAAAGCCAGGAGTCAGGAACTCTGTCCTGGCCTCCTGGGTAGGTGGCAGGAACCTAAGTCTCAGATCATCTTCTGCTGCTTGCCCAGGAGCACTAGCAGGAAGCTGGAGTGGGAGTGGGGCAGCCAGAACTTGACCCAGTGCTCGGATGCAGGATGCCTGTGTTGCAAGTGACAGCTTTTCCACTGCACCACAACACCAGCCCCTTCAGATTTTCTTAAATAAAACATTACAGAAAAGTTATGGTCCCCAACTCCCTCGCCCCAGGGTTGTACTTGCTCACTCTCATGGGGTTAAGGGTGTAAATCCAGTCCATCATTAAACTCAGCTATATACAAGTATATTCATAAATGACACACAGATGTATATATGTAAAATACAAATGGCATACTGTTATTTTCAAGTTCCATTGGTGTTATAGTTACCATATTGCATTTCATCATGAGATTATTTCAGATTTGTTACTCCATCTCCATGGACACTGAGTTTCTCGCTGTTTCTCAGTATTATGGACATTTTGTACATACTTTAGCATCTGTAACTCTAACCTATCAGGTTTAAATTGCTATCAGCAACCACCTATGAAATTCCTTGCTCTACATCCTTACCTGCACTTGGTACTGTCAGATTCTAAATTTTTGTCATGTCAGTGGATGAGAAATCATAGCTTACTGTTTTATTTCCTTTTCATTATTTGAAGTTTTTCTTCTAAGTTGCCTATTCATGTTGCTTTACTTTTTCTGAGGTGGCTTTTCTTCCTGATTCAAGTATAATGCAAAAAACTAATCAAAAACTTTCTACCTCTCTCTCTGCCTCTCCTCTCTCTGTGTAACTCTTTCAAATAAATAAATAAATCTCAAAAAAAAAAAAAAAAAAAGGCTGGCACCATGGCTCACTTGGCTAATCCTGTCTGCGGTGCTGGCGCCCTGGGTTCTAGTCCCAATTGGGGCACCAGATTCTGTCCTGGTTGCTCCTCTTCCAGTCCAGCTCTCTGCTGTGGCCCGGGAGTGCAGTGGAGGATGGCCCAAGTGCTTGGGCCCTGCACCTGCATGGGAGACCAGGAGAAGCACCTGGCTCCTGGCTTCAGATCAGCGCGGTGCGCCAGCTGCAGTGGCCATTGAGGGGTGAGCCAACAGAAAAGGAAGCCCTTTCTCTCTCTCTCACTGTCCACTCTGTCAAAAAAACAAACAAACAAAAAAAACAACTTTCAATACCTTTACTTGGCAGGTTAAAAAAAAAAATGGTGCCTTTATGTCTGTCTCCTCAGTTTAAGAAAGCCTTTATTTGAAACTGAAGGTCAGCTGAGGCTTGGGAGAGCCCTGCAGCAAACCTAAGATCTTAGGAGATGGACACAGCATGGGGTTTGCAAGAAGAAGAGTTCAGGTTTCACTGGAAACTAGAAAATGGTCCCAGCATCAAATCTCTGTTTCAAACTAGGACCAATCCTGACAAAAGAGCTGACTTTCTCTTCAAATATTGGACAACATGATTTGGACACAAAGAATAAACAGATTCAGCAGTGGATTGAGAAAAAATACCAAGTTCAAATTACTATAAAGAAGGGGAAAAATGCAGATGAGCCAGAAAACAAAACGGTAAGTGGAAACAGGTATGCCAGTTGCTTGTGTTTCCTGGGAAAACTTAAAAGCAAAACAGTGACTGGTACTTCTGCCATTTAGTAAGTAATAGCTTACCAATGTGTTTTTCAAAATGCAGGCACACTGTGCATACATTTCCCAAATGGAAACATTCTCTAGTCTATAATTTAACAATTATATAGTGCTCTGATATACAAACTGAAGAATAGTCAACCCTCACATGGAAAACTGGAAACGGGACATATCGTGTCTCTTCTAAGTCTTATGGGCATTTCACAGAGACTGTCCTCCAGAGAGCATCTATGGGTTTGAAATCCCAGGATGTCCATGGAACACCTACTTTGCTTTTAATTGGGTATCTTATCATTCAGTAAAGGTAGCATTCGTCCAGTGGTTTTGAACCCTAATCTGTGTTAGAATCACTTCAGCACAGGCCCAGAATTTTTGGAGCACAGGTCTCTTTTCTTAATCACCTCACGTGATTCTGTGTTACTGTTGCAAGTATTTTGAGAGGTACACTGGCTGACAGTTTCAGGGAATAAGGAGATACTTTGTCAAGGCTCAGCCTTGGGACTTTGTGCTTGTTTTTGCAAGAGCATTCTAGGACAAAGATAGCCCCTTTCTGCTGTGACCGTGGAGATTTAGGACCTCAGATCCTTCCGTGTATTAATTACACGGAGCTGCTGTACAGAGTCCAATCAACCAGATATGTATGAGTTAATTAGTCACTTAAGTGGCAGCAATTAAAGAAGGCAGGTTTTTTTTTTTTTTTTTTTTTTTTTAACGGACAAGGGTTTATTGGGGGAAACTCGACAGACCGGAGGCAAGGGGTGAAGAAGGAAAAGAGAAGGAGAGCGTGAGAGAGAGATCAAAAGAGAGAATGAGAGAGCGATCAAGAGAATGAGCTATGTGTTCAGGAACAGGTCCTCTTAAAACTTGGGGGGGGGGGGCGGGGCGGGAGCTAAGGAAGTAGGAGCAGCAAATACTATTAGGATGGGGGTAGAGCAGACACCGGTGGTTAGGCCATGGGGTCACCTGGCTTCCAGCCATGGCGGCAGGGACTAGAGCCTAGGATGGTGTCCGGGGTGTAGGTTGTGCCACAGTTAAGACTCTGCCATTTTACTAACATTCCATCCTTTTGTTTTTTTATAAAGCTAGAGTGTATGAGATTATATTAGTTCCAAAAGTCGAGGAAGGGTAGAGGGACGATGATCTGTCTTTAGAGCTACTTCCTGCTGATATGGGGCGATGAAGTACTCTCTGCTGTCATTGGGTGATGTCTCAAGCCGCTGTCTCCTGAGTGGGGAACTGAGTATATCCCTGTAGCAGTGTTTGGTTGACTGACTGGCTGGTGAAGGCCTTGGTTCATTCCATTGTCACCTCCTGTAAACACTTAAACACATGGTAGTATAAAAGGGTGAGAATAGCAACCAACGGTCCTAATAGTGGTATTAACTAAATAATGAGAGGATTTCATAGAGGAGAGGAAATGGGGGGGGGGGGTGTCTCTGGACCCTTGTGAAGACTGATGGATGTAGTTTAAAGCTGATCTCAACCAAGACTGGGAGAAAGACCATTCATCTTTTGCAGGTAGAGAGGTTTGAGGAGAAATTCTGATCATAAAACATTAAGTGGGGGAGAGGACCATCAGTACACACAGGTCGGGAGTAGAGCCATTGATGTAAAAGTAGAGGCTTGGAACAAGGACTTTGGAGACACCACCGTTTAAGGAAACACCTTTGTAAGCCTGCAGAACATACAGCAAGCAAGCAAGAAAGGATCTGCATTGAACAGTTATCAGCTATTGAAGCTTGACCTAAGTTTACAGGACTTGAGTCTTAAAAATGATTTGTACACCAAACTTAAAGATGAGCCAGAACACAAGTTTAAATAAAATTCAAAATGTAAAAAAAAAAAAAAAAAAAAGTAGAGGCTATGATTACAAAGGAATGAGGCCCCAAATGGGCTAGACAGGGTCTAGAACAAAGGACAAAGCCATTAATAGAGGACTTAAGAAAGGTGTAAACCACGAATCAATTCTCCGATTGAGAGGCAAACAAACTGACAGAGGGTTGGGGCCGGCACTGTGAGGTAGCAGGTAAAGCTGCCCCCTGCAATGCTGGCAGCCCATATGGGCACCGGTTCAAGTCCTAGCTGCTGCACATCTGATCCAGCTCTCTGCTATGGCCTGGGAAAGCAGAAGAAGATGGCCCAAGTTCTTGTGCCCTTGCACCCACATGGGAAACCCGGAGGAAGTTCCTGGCTCCTGGCTTCAGATCAGCGCAGCTCCAGCCATTGTGGCCAGTTGGGGAATGAGCAAGCAGATGGAAGATGTCTCTCTCTCTGCCTCTCCTCTCTCTGTGTAACTCTGACTTTCAAATATATAAATATATCTTAAAAAAAAAAAAAACTGATAGAAGTAATAATCTGGTGGGCTTTAAGGCCTTGTCAGTTATGAGGGGTATGTCCTAAGGGAGGTATGAACCTCCTTGGGGAAGGCACCCTGTTGACTTCCATTACCTAGCTGGTCTGGGAGGAGAGCTGGCCAGTAAAGGCAGGTAGCATCTCTGACAGGAAGAAGGCAGATTTTTTATAAGTACTGGATTATGAACATTAGAAAGCATCAAAGACACTGGCTTTATTTTTTAATTTTGCTTATTTGAGAGACAAAACCATAGAGAGAGAGGAAGTGCATGCCGCTATCCTCTGGTTCACTCCCCAGATGCCTGCAACGGCCAAGGCTGGGCCAGGAATGCAGTCCAGGGCTCCCAAGAAGGTGACAGGAACTCAACCACTTGAGCCATCACTGCTGCCTCCCAGGCCTTCCAGCATTAGTAGGGAGCTGGAATTGGGGGCAGGGCTGGGATCCACACCTTGGCACTGTGATTTAGAATGCAAGCATCTTAATTGCCAGGCTAAATGCCCACTCCTAAGACAGTGACTTTAAATTCATCTTTGGCTGTTTTCCCTTTTTAGGAGGAGCTATTTAATCAAATACTCCAGACAATGCCTGGAATAGCCACCTTCAAATCCAAGCCACAAGCTGTTAAAGGAGGAAAAGCTGTAATGTGTGTTCTTCGTCATTTGAGCAAAAAGGAAGAGAATACATATAAAGAATCTCAAGGGACCCAGAAAAGAGACACTTTGCACAAAGAAAGTAGAAGTGAAAAGGAATCAAATGATCCACATCAGTGACTAATAAAGAAAATATGCTTGGTGTGAAAATAAGCTCACTGGTCCGTGGTCCTTTAAACAACGCAGGGTACCATTCAGGTGAGGGTACGCACAGCAACTGTTGAGAGCACCCTGTCTTCAACACAGTCCAGCGACTCTCCGTTTTTAGGCAACTCTTGCTCTTGTTTCCTTTTAGGGGGGATATAGCCACTGAGATGGGAGGCGAGGCTCCGTTTCTCACGAGATCGTTTTACCTGGGGGAATAAGGACGATGAGAATGAGAATTCAAAAGCTGCCGTACCTGAATGAATCTGATAATCGCTGGATGTTCTAACAGATACGGCACAGAACATTCCTGTATAGGAAAGTCCGAAAACTATGCCAACTCACACCGTGGGGTGTCTGGAAATAGTCCAGACAGTTTGTATCTGACTTTAGGCAAGTTGCTTTACAACTCAGAGCTCGCCCAAGTATTTTCAACTTACTTTGAGCTTTATCTTGTCAGGGTCGTGCACAACAGCGTGCCGTGTGAGACTTTGCTACAATGAAGGAAAAGGGAAAAAAGTTGTATTTTAAAAATATCACCAATGCTAGATGTCTATGACTATGAAGACACCATCAGTTTTAAACTATTAGTCTTCCTTCTATTAAGTGCTAGAGGGATTTGAGGGATTTGACCTCTACCTAAAAGCCTTCCCCCACTGAGAGTAAAGAAAGAATGCTTCCTCAAATCCTAGACCTAAATCACTGCCTTTTCCAAAGACACAGCCAGGAACTCACACCTTCCCAACCACCTGTGGCCCCATCCTTCCTCCGTGGGGGTACCTGGTCCAAACTATTCCAAGCTGAGGGGTACTTTCCAGCAGAGTCTGAACCATGTTCCCAAAAGCCTGGGGGAACCCTGACCAGCGGCTGACCACCGCAGCTCCCTGCTGTTCGCTAATGGCCTGCACTGTGCTGAGAGAGCCTCGTTTCCCTCTCTGTAACAGTTCACAGGAACCACAGTGGCGGCCTCAGTGGGATCCCCCGAGCTGTGTGTCCCTTCACTCCTTGTTGCCCTTCTCCAGCTCCAGGAGGCAGGGATCTAAAAGGACCCTGTGGGACAGAGTATGCTGTATGCTGTACCCAACAGAATCCCCAGGAGGGCTTGTTGCAACACAGATCCCTGCCCCAGTGAGGCCACAGGGGCCTGGGAACCTGCATTCCTGTGCTCCTGATCTAGGGCCACACTTGAGATTCTCTGACCTTGGCAAACTTACAGGCTGTGCAGATGTTAGTGGGCAGGCGCCCCAGGGGAGCCAGAATAGAAGGTGTGTGGGGCCCTGCTCACCAGCCCTCCTGTCTGCTGGCCCCGAGCCACCACCCTGGAACCCAGGAGCCCAGGACATGTGTGCAGGTTGAGCACTTACTTTCATGGCAAACGTTTTGCCACAGCCCGCGTGCTCACACACAAATGGACGCATTTCTTCATGGAAGGAGAGGATGTGGCTCTGCAGATTAAATACAGTGGTGTAGGTCCGCCCACAGCCTTCCCGCGGACAGCGATATACGTCCCTCGCCGGGGCGTGAGTCTTCATGTGTTGCTTAAGGTAATCTTTGCGCTTAAACGTTTTCTGGCATACTTCACAGGTTGTTACCTCTGGTGGAGCAGACAGAGAGATTTAACCATCTTCCCCATCTGTGACCCTGGAGGAAAAATCAGTACTGAAGAGCTAAGTACCACTCAATGCTTTAAGCCTTGTAACTATACACACGCAATACAGGAGCTCTAAATTATCACTGTGGCCACATCTGTCTTGGATCTCCAAGGTGATCACGGGACCCCCCAGGCTTCTTGGGCTGCACTTCCCAGGATGTGGGGTTCTCGGCACCGGGGCCGTGGCAAGTGGTGAAAGTGAAACGGATCAGTTTCCCTCCTTGTCTTCCGTATAGAGGGCACTAGTCACCAAACAGCCTCAAAGGACACTCTGGCCTCCCCAGAGCCTTTCCACCTGCCCTGTGTGTGCAACAGCGGCAGCTGAGACACGTGGCACTGCTCTGCTCACCTGTCCGACAGCTGATGCACCCAGCACTTCCTGCACTTTCGTGAAACAGAACCCCTCCTACTTTAAAGCTCGCCCTCAGTATTTCACCTTCAAGAGCACTAGCAATGCCACAGAGACGGCTGTGTACCCCACGCCGTTCACGGCTGCCTTGCCTTTATGGGCTTCTCTTGTGTGTTTCAGGAGCTCTGTCCATGTTTTGGCCACAAAGGAACATCCCTTTTGACACGTGTAACCTGTTTAAAATAAAAAAAAGTAGGTTGGTGCACTGCCCTTTGTGAGCACTCTATAAAAACTGACCATAATTAGAAAAGGAAACTTAAATGCCTACACAGCTTTTCTCCCACTTCTCTCTACGATTCTAATCTATTACTCTCAAGATGGGAATAAGAACTAAAAGGTTTCTGTGACGGTGAAACCACGCAGTTGTGTAGCACGATGCTTCACCTCAGCCCCTCAGGAAGGATGCCTTTCCTCGCTCCCCACTGCTGCAGGCCCCTCCTGCAGTCTCGAGTTCCCTCCCCCCAGCCCCACCTTCCCAGTGCTTGCCTCCTTCACCCTCAGCAAACGTGTCCCACAGTCCTTTGTCCCAGGCAGACCACCAACACCTATCACAGTAGTTATATGCCCACCCCTCACCTCCTCTAGTCTTGCCATCTTGTACAATTCACACTGAAGGAAAAAAAGAAAAAAAAAAAAAACCCCATGTGTAGCTAAGGAAGAAAGAACTAGAAGAACCAGAAAAAACACTGCGCTAGAATTTTTTTCCGGAGAAAAATACTAAACAAGAATGGACACTGAACAAAGCACTGTCAACGTTAACAGGCAGGCTGAGGCTCAGCCACCAGAAACTCAGTGGGACTGCCACTCATTCTCACTCATCTTGTTTTTACAGAACCAAATTCATAAATCCTAGGGGTTGGGAAATTGGAATACAGACAGCAGAAATCCCTCATGAAAACAGGCAATACACTCAATCAGTTAATGCAATCAAGTGTTTTTTTGTTTAAGTTGCAGTTTGCTTACTGCTGAAATTCAAACTATCATCCAAGACTTCTGAATGACCAAAAAGGAAAAGAACAGCATGGGTGATTCAAAAGAACTCAAAAAATAAGGCCCCACAAAGTAGCCAGCCTTGGCTAGATAGGGATGTGCAGCTAAGTGTAAAAGCACAGCCGGGCACTTAGCTGTGCGTGGCAGGAACGCAGGAGGGCCGACGTCTACTGCGTCTGGACACAGGGAGACCTGAATAAGCAGAGCGCTGTCCCCGCTGCCTGCCTGCGTGACCACAGAGTAGACCAGAACCACTGATCGCATCCTGCGGGGAGAGCACTCATGAGGCATCTGTACCTACCCTCATGGACCTTGGCGTGCCGCTTCAGCCTGCTGGGGGAGGCGAAGTGTTTCCCACATCCCTCCTGGGCACACCTGGGTTAGCAGCACAGGAAGCATTAGCCAATCCATTCTCCCAGAGGATATGCTTAAGGTAAAGGGTACTCTGTTTCTCACCACCACAACCAAACCAGCCATATGAAAATAAGAATTACAGTGTGGATCTAATCACTGGTGGGATTCAAGTTACTTGGCCAGCCTTAGGGCAAAACAGAGAAAAAAACCACAATACTTTTTTTTTTTTGCTTATATGACCAAAGTAAACGCGTGCTTTGCTCTTTATACCTCTGAAAATACTCCAGCTCCCACAGAGCTGAAGAAGGGATCTGAGCTGGCTCAGGCAACCCAAGCCATCCAGGACCGTTTGCACCTGGTCTGTCTGACGGTCCCGTGGATAAGGAGCCAGGCAGCACAGGCAGCGGCCTCCAGCGAGCAGTACTCAGCCCGTGCTGCCTCCATGCTGCCAGCAGCCCAGCGACAAGCTGCAGAGCCACGAGGCAAGCACTGTCCCTGCAGTGGCTCCAAGGCCAAGGGCGGCCTGAGCGAGCCAGGAGAAAGGCACGGCTGGTGGCGGGGACGCCTGGCACCTTTCCCAGGTGCATCCCCACGTGTCCCCTCCCCCACATTCCTGAGAAACCGCAGGCGGAGCCCAAGGACTACTGTCTCGCTCTACAGAAAAACAGCCTTTAATGGCATAACTGGCTCTGTCTGAACAGTGGAGTCATTTCTTAGTCTTCACACTTAACCACAGCTGTGATAACCTCACAAATGACCTTAAAACAGGAAAAGTTTCTTTTAGAAAAGCCAAAGCAAGACTGCGCTTTTGCAATGTCCCAGCATATAAGTGGGTACACACAGCACACGTGAATGGAAACACTCTGGCTTCCCTACTCTGCATTTGGGTCTAACGCACACCTGGCACTTGGGAGGTTTTCGGCCATGAGAAGTACCTACTTGAAGGGTGGCTCGTTGGTGTGCTGGCTCTGATGCGTCTTCAGCTGCTGGTGTTTCCTGAAGGTCTTCTGACAGCCCTCAAAGCCGCACTGTGTAGGAAGCGTCTGTTAGTCTTGAGGAAGAATCAGAGACAACAGCTCGTAGCAATCCTCTCAGACAAAACTGTTTTGGAAATTACACAATTCCCACTTCCGCCTAGTTAGTCACTGTAAAATTCAGCTTTATGTCAAAAAGCTTTTACAGAGGCCAGCGCCATGGCTCACTTGGTTAATCCTCCGCCTGTGGTGCTGGCATCCCATATGGGTGCCGGGTTCTAGTCCCGGCTGCTCCTCTTCCAGTCCAGCTCTCTGCTGTGGCCTGGGATAGCAGTGGAGGATGGCCCAAAGTGCTTGGGCCCTGCACCCACATGGGAGACCAGAAGGAAACACCTGGCTCCTGGCTTCGGATTGGTGCAGCTCCAGCCGTTGCGGCCATTTGGGTGAACCAACGGAAGGAAGACCTTTCTCTCTGTCTCTCACTGTCTATAACTCCACCTGTCAAATAAATAAATAAATAATCTAAAAAAAGCTTTTACAGTGAAAGACATTTGAGAAAGCAGAAATGTTTCCACTGGGAGACACTTTAATTCCATCATGTCTACTCCCCAAGTGTCAGATTACCTGCAGATACCTCACAGGCAGAATGTCTCATGAAAACTTCAGAAGTGTAAGCGTAAGTAGACAAATATTCAGAAAATTGAGGCACATAAAAGCATCATACTTACTACATACTGCTTTTGCTGATTTTCATGTTTGCGTTCAAAATGTTTCTTCAAGTTCGATTTTGTGTTGAACTTCTGATCACAGTCACTAGCTGTGCAGCTGTAAGAAATTGTACAGACCATAAAGAGAAGTTTTCAAATGCTTACATCCTCCCAGTTTACAAAAGCCAATGATGCCAAAAAGCATAAAGTAGCCTTCAACAAATTCCCAAGTGGCAAGCATACCTTGCTTCACAAGTCTGATGAGACTACCCGGCCGTGAGACCTTGCTGGTGCTGGGCCTTGGAAATAAAGCCCGCCACATCACACATCCACACACTGGGCAGAAGGGAAGAAGAGAAACACTCGTCCCTAAAGCCTAAACCCTGTTCAGGCTTCAGGTAAACTGCTCTCTGGATTCTGATAACCGTTATCCTGCTGTAAACTGGAATCCAGAGAGATCTCCACCTGGTTCAGCTCACTGTTAGAGTGGCACCACTCGGAGCAGAACCATAAGCCCCTTGCCCTCTGGCACATCACCAGGCCATTCCAGCTCCGCTAACCTTGGCATCTCAGCCTTGAATAATCTAAATCTTTTGTGAAGCTTTGTGTACAGGGAAGGGAGCCCCTCTTGTGACGAGACTCCCTAAGCCTGACGGATGGAGCACGGTGTTCTTTCCAGGCCCGGGGCTTGGCCATTACTCAGTGATAACACTGAGCCATACTCAGGTCAGGAACCAGGCAGTCCCCTGGGCGAGGCAGAGAGACCCAGAGGCAGAGTGACCATGACAGGGGGGTATACAGCACAGAAGCCCACAGAAGCACGCAGCAGTCCCCTGACCTCAGGGACACAATGCTGAGTGGTAGCTGGGCAGATGGCCAACACAAAAACTTTATCCAGTCTCCTCCCCTGTGATTAGGAATGGACACATGCATGGCCAAGACTGGCCCAGGCTGCTGAACTTGCTCAAAGTATCTAAAATGGAGACAAGTCTGTTACCCCTTTCTGCTTCCTGCCTGCTGGAATGCTGATTAACAGCTAGGGCTCCAAAAGGCATCTTGGACTACCAGGTTGAAGCCCCAAGATGAGGATTAAAGAAGCCAGTTAGGAGCAGCCCAGGTCCCTCACGATCACCATCCACCTCCACATTTCTGAACTTGCTACGCAAGAGGAAAAGAGTTCATCTCACATAAGCCTCTCTCATGCTGGGTTTCCTGTTTCTTGACTTTAAGGCTGCCACAGGCATCTAACTCAGCACAGGTGTGGGGAGAGAGGCCATGGCAAATCCTGATGGAAACAGCAGGTGCAGGGGCAGAAGGACCCCGGCAGGCTGGGAGCAGGGTGCAGGGCTGGCTAGTTAGGCGGTCTGAGTCAAGCAAATGGGTAAGATCAGTGGGAAGGGCTGGATCACACAGGCCACAGAAATGGGGCTGGGTCCACAGGTGCACAGTGCCCTGGAAAGGTGAGGGTTATTCCTGCCACAGCAGCTTGCACTAGCCCAGCCCTCTCGCTACTTGGCTCCGGGTCCCCACAGCCTGCTGCTCACCGGCCAATGCTACTTGGCTGTTCCTGAGGCTTCTGAAGGTGCACCAAAAGGGAGTACGTTTCAGCTTTTCCTCACCTCCCCACCCCACCACGCCCACGACGTGGACAATGTGGAAGCCAGATCACCAAGCAGCAGCCGCTCCTGAGAACCTGATAGAAATGCAGATTCCCAGGCCCCATCCAACAGCCACCAAATCCAAAGCTCCAGGGTGGACCCAGCCGTCTGTTTTCACAAGCTCTTCATGTGGTTCCAAAGAGCACCCTAAATTGAGATTGACTGCATTACAGAAGCAGCTGTTATCAGTATCACCACTGTTTTAGCAACAGCAGCTCCCAGAATAACCACCTTAAACTTGAACATAGAGTGCAAAGCCTCTGCTTTACGTCTGTGTCTCTTCTCTCAGCAGTTCACAGAGACCAGGCTGTTCATAAAGTCCTTGATGGGACCAGCACTGTGGGTTAAGCTGCTGCCTGCTGCACCAGCATCCCATGTGGGCGCCAGTTTGTCCCTGATGCTCCACTTCTGATCCATCTCCTTGCTAATGCACCTGGGAAAGCAGTGGAAGATGGCCCAAGTGCTTGGGCCCCTGTACCCACATGGAAGACCTGGAAAAAGCTCCTCCTGGCTCCTGGCTTCAGTCTGGCCCAGCCCCAGCCATTTGAGGAGTGAACCAGTGGATGGAAGACCTTTCTCTGACTCTTCCTTTCTTTCTGTAACTCTACCTTTCAAAATAAATTTAAAATAAGCAAAAACAAAAATGTCCCTGAGAAGACTGAACCAAGAATTTTCAGGAAATCATTTCTCACCAAGTTCAACTGTGCATTTTTTTCAACCTTGATTTCTCCTTTACTCTGTATTTTAAAGGGCTACAAACTCAAGAGAACTTCAGATTAACTCAAACCTGGACTTATTACACACAAATGTCCCCCAAACTCCTATAATACACTCCAAGCCTATTCACCGCCTACACAAAAAGGAAAGAAACTTCACATCCCTGATCCCCAATCTTCTCACTGAGCCTTTGTGCTTGGGACCACAATCCGCTTCCAAGGTTAACATGGCTCTCTACTTACACAAACGGCTTTTCTCCAGTATGAATCAGTGCGTGGCGACTCAGATGGTAGTCCCTGATGAAGGCCTTGCCACAGCCCTCGTGGTCACAAACAAATGGTCTCTGGCGGGGAAAGAAAAAAAAAAACATGTTAATCCTGCGTGAGGCTGTAAGTTAACTCTGGCATTGTTTGGAAGCCCAAAGTGCCTACTGGTACAAGTTCCAAACTCTCCTCTGCAGAGATGGTTTCCTTTCGTGAAGTGCACTGAGCACCTGCTACACCCAGGCAAGCTGTAGCTTTCCTACATTAATGCTGTAACTTCTCCCATAGTCACTGCAGACTTCGGTTGTATGAATGGCATCTGAAATAAGCAGGTGGCCTTCACAGCGTTGCTAAGCTGCCCCTAACCTGGCACCAGAGTTCTGCAGCAATGCCCTCCTATTCCTTTGCTGCTGCCACAGCCTGTCTGCACAGATCTCCACCACAGCACAATCTGATGACAGCTAGGGCAGAGAAACAGCATGGTGCCAGCCTGCCCTGGGCAAGTCCACTGTCTGTGCCAACAGAAGGCCAGGCATGGCGACAGGAAAACGTGTCACCCCTTGAAAAAGCTCTCAGGCGTGTCGCTCCCCCTCTTCGTGGAGGAGCAACACAGGACCCTGCGCTGTTCTTTCGTCTGCTCGGCCCTCCCCGGGTTTGCTGCTGGTTCTTCCCGGGTTGGCTACTATCCCTTCCACCTCCGTGGAAGGGCAGTTCCCCCTGGCCACATTCCCCACTTCCGCAGGGGAGCGGCACCCCGCCGGCCGGCTCTTCTCGGGGGCTGCACAGGTGTTCCTTCAGCTAGATGTTCCCCATAGATGTTCCTGGTGCATGCCGTCTCTCTCCTCCTTTATAGTCCTCCTCTGCCAATCCCAACTCGGCTGCCCACACACCGAGCACGCTGCTCTCCAATCAGGAGCAAGTCCTACAGTTTATTGGTTGAACTGGAGGCACCTGTGTAGAAGCTGTTTACTTCTCTCCCAGCGCCATATTGTGGGAGAGCAGATGCATAGAATAAGTCCCAATTCCAGTAACTCAGTCCAGTCCAGATTGCTCCCCACAGATCCCCCTTTCTTTTTATTTTTTGGCGTTGATACGCGCCTGTCTTCGGTGTCCCGCGGCACACACTCTGCTCTACTTGCTAGAGTTGCCACAGGCTCTTACAAGTCCTATCCATCAGGCAAACCGAATCCGGGTCCTCTCTTCGCCATGTTGTGAGGAGGTTTTTAGGCGCTGATGCGTGCCTGTGTTCGGTGCCCTGCAGCGCATGCTCTGGTCGAGCCTGCAGGGGCTTACAAAACCTATCAGGCAAACCGAATCCAAGCCTTCTCATTGCCTTTTTGTGGGGAGGCCTTACTGATGTTAATTCGTGCCTGTCTTCGGTGACCTGCGGCGCATAAGCTGCTAGCCGCCGCAGGTGCTCATCGTGCTCATCGCCTCACTTAATCAGGCAGACCGAATCCAAGCTTTCTCATTGCCATGTTGAGGGGAGGCCTTATTTTTCTCTATTTCTCTATCTCCGGGCATTCCTATTTCTCCCATTTTACTTCTGTCTGCCAACATTCCTATTTCTCTCACTTTACTTCTAAACTTCTGTTTCTCTTATCCCCGCAGCTTCCCGGCACCTCGCCCCGCCGGCGGGTTCCCGGCTCTGCGCCGCTTCAGCTGTTTCTCTTATCCCCGCAGCTTCCCGCTGCCCGCCCCGAGGCTACTTCTCGGCGGCTTCCCGGCTGAGCCGCTTCAGCCCGCGCCTCTTTCATCTGCGCAGCTTCCCGGCTTTGCATGGCTTGGCTTCGCGCGCTCCGCGGTCTCCACGCCTTCGCGTCTGCACCACGGCCTCGCGCCAGCCCCGTTCCCTATCTATTCACGCCCCGTGCTCTCTCTGCACGCGGCGGCTTCCGCGAGTAACACAGCGTAGCTTACGTGTCCGCCACTAGCATTCAATCTAAGTTCCCCGGGCTAGCCTGGCGAATTCAACCTGGCGGCCCACGTCTCTGCCTCTGGTTCCAGATCTTCGCCTCTTGCTCCCCGGGGTGACTTGAAGAATTCCAAGGTGGCTTATATCCGCCTCGGCCTGCACTCGCGGCTTCATCCTCCCTAACATTTTTCTCTACCCGGTATGTTTCCCTAAGTTTTCTTCCAACAATATTCCTCCCTCATTTCTCCTGGCCTCTCCCCACAGTCCGTATCCAAGTCTAAGTTTCTTATAGGTTTCACTTTCACTTTCAACCTGCAGTCCGTATCTGAGTCTAAGTTTCTTCTTGCTTTCACTTTAAATCCTAACTTCTTTCCCACAGTCCGTATCCGAGTCCAAGCCTCCTCCAGGTTTCACTTTCGCTTTCAATCTCCTAGCTTCCCCGCCATAGTCCGCATCCGAGTCTATGAAAGCTTTCACTTTCGCTTTCAATCCTAACTTCTTTCCCACAGTCCATATCCGAGTCTATGCCTAGGCTTTCAATAGCTTCTTCCGGCACCTAGGCTCTTTGCTAGTCTCTCTCTCCGGTATTTTCCTGCTTCTTCCCTCCTAAGTTTCCTATCCGTCCTAAGTTTCCTATCCGAGTCACGGCACCACTATGTCGCTCCCCCTCTTCGTGGAGGAGCAACACAGGACCCTGCGCTGTTCTTTCGTCTGCTCGGCCCTCCCCGGGTTTGCTGCTGGTTCTTCCCGGGTTGGCTACTATCCCTTCCACCTCCGTGGAAGGGCAGTTCCCCCTGCCACATTCCCCACTTCCGCAGGGGAGCGGCACACCGCCGGCCGGCTCTTCTCGGGGCTGCACAGTGTTCCTTCAGCTAGATGTTCCCCATAGATGTTCCTGGTGCATGGGGTCTCTCTCCTCCTTTATAGTCCCTCTGCCAATCCCAACTCGGCTGCCCACACACCGAGCACGCTGCTCTCCAATCAGGAGCAAGTCCTACAGTTTATTGGTTGAACTGGAGGCACCTGTGTAGAAGCTGTTTACTTCTCTCCCAGCGCCATATTGTGGGAGAGCAGATGCATAGAATAAGTCCCAATTCCAGTAACTCAGTCCAGTCCAGATTGCTCCCCACAAGGCGAGCCCAGTGCTGTGGCACAGTGGGTTAAAGCCCTGGCCTGAAGCACTGGCATCCCATATGGGCGCCGGTTCGAGTCCTGGCTGCTCTTCTTATGATCCAGCTCTCTGCTGTGGCCTGGGAAAACAGTAGAAGATGGCCCAAGTCCTTGGGCCCTGAACCCATGTGGGAGATCCGGAGTAAGCTCCTGGCTGCTGGCTTCAGATCTGTGCAACTCCAGTAGTTGCAGCCATCTGGGGAGTGAACCATTGGATGGAAGACCTCTCTCTCGGTCTCTACCTAACTCATTCAAATAAATAAAAGAAATCTTTAAAAAAAAGAAAAGAAAAAGCTCGCAGGCACCAGGGCAAAGCAAAGCAAACAGCTCTCTGCCCTCCTGCAACCACCATTTAGGGTCCACAAGCTGGGAGGAGAGGGGACTCCATTCTGAACAAAACAGCCAGAACCTGTCCCCTCAAACAACCAGGCTTGCGTCTCTACAGCACTGATGCCCAGGGAGCTCCCAAGCCCTCAGTAAGAATGCCAGGAACCAAGCAGTGGACTGATGCAGGACAGTGAGTTGTACATTGTGGGCAGAGCCGCAGAACTTTGCACACCTCCAATCAGGGAACAGGCTCAGTAAGTAGTTGTCAAATTTGGGACAACAAAGAGGACTCCAAATTTTCTAACCAATTAGAAGGAAGCTGGTAGTGCAGTACCCAAATACAGCACAGGGCAACAGGAAAGGCAAGCTCTAATTGGACGTTACCAGTCCCACACAGCGCAGGATGCGGGCGAAACGATGGGTGGGAGAAGCGCCAGGGGGAACAGCGTAATGGGCATCACGAGCGAAGGCGGTTGTTGCAGGGCAGGGCTGGAGCTGCGAAGACCTAAGTCCTCGTCTGCATTGCTCTGGGCTCCCTACAGCGCTGAGTCAGGAGAAAAGGACCAGTGCTGCTCGCTGTAACCCAGGAGTTTTCCTCAGTACCCGCTGACAGGCCAGCTTTAGGCCAGGTGCGTGCTGCTGTCGGGCCACCAAGCCGCGCCCACTTAGAGTTAGGGGGCGGTGCCTGACTCCCAGGACGAAAGATCAACGAAGGCTGCTCTGTGAGCCTCCAGCCCATAGCAAGGGTACAGCGGTCTCAGAACGAGGGTCCCTAGCACTTCCTGCCCACTTCCCCTGCTCCTTCCCAAAGTCCAGGACGCCAAGGTGAGCATGCCTCGCACAGCGGGGACCGGACGGGAGCCACGCGCCAGGCCTGGCAGCCCGGGCCCGCCCACCCGGCGAGCCAGCGCGCCCCCCGGACCCCCGCACGCCTGCGCGGCCGCGCCTGCGCTCTCCTTACCTCCCCCGTGTGCTTGCACAGGTGCGCATCTAGCTTCCAGGCTTTGTTGTAATTGGCACTGCAGTCGGGGAAGGAGCAGATGAACCTCCTAGCGGGCGGCGCTGAGTTCTCGCCGGCCGCCACGAACGCGTCGGCGATGGTCAGGGACGACACAGCCTCCGAGACCGACACCGGCGGCTCCAGGGCGCCGGGGGGCCAGGCGCGTGGCCACGTGCAGAGGCACGTGCCGCCACGAACCGGCGTGCGCAGCCCACGGCCCCGGACACGACCCCCATGTACTTCCGGGAGCGTAGCTCGGGCGAACGCGCAAGTTCAGAAAGGCCCCGCGGCGGCGCCGGAGCTGCGCATGCGCCAGGAGGCTGTTCCGCCGCTCGCGCCTCTCCCGCCCTTCTTGGTTCAGAGGCTCAGCCCCGGAGCAAAGCGAATACTGGGGTGCTACCTGCGCCCTGTGGACAGGACCGAGCGCGCGTCATTTACACGATCCCGTTCCTGGCTCGTTGTCGGTTTGTCCCTTCTGTGGATTCCTTTCCTTGCGTACTGCAAAGCCCTGGGACAGTGGCTCCTAAGCTTGCCTGCCATTTAGAGTCACGAGGCGCTCTTTTCTAATTCCAAAGCCCAGGACGCACCTGCACCCCTGAGATCACAACTCCTGGAGGATGGAAAGCAGATGTCGCTAGTGAGGGACACGCCCAGGAGATTCCAGTGTGTGTGTGTGTGGGAGGCGGGTCGCCTTGTCACAGATGGAAGTCGCCGACCTGATTTCAGATTCCACAGGCACTGGCGGGAGGCCCGAGTGTATGGGTGGCGCTAAGAGGACCCCGTGTTTAAAGAACATCCTGGCATGAGGTAGCAGCGACAGGACGCACATCTTCCCGTCTGGCATCATGCCAAGGCGTTAAGGGAGCCCTGTCTGAATTCTACGGACACGTGCCTGTGTTGTGGGAATATGGTCCAAGTCCTTGCCCCAGTGGAGATGAAGACGCCAAGGCAAGGCACAAATACTGCACACGAGGGAGAACAGGATTTATTTTGAAGTGAGTGTGGGCCACTCCACAGGGAGAGATACCTATGAAGGCAGTAAAGAACCCAAAAGTAAGGGCAGAAACCAAGAGGCAAAGGGGCTGCTCCCACTGTAACCCTCCCTTTATGGACTGAGGGTGGGGATTAGCGCAAAGGAGGCTTTCTGGAAGTTTCACGGTATCCCCACGTGGACGTCAACTTCCACATGACCGTAATGGTGTTCCTCTCTTTCCTGGTGCTGGGTGAAACACAGGTGCATCAGAGTCAGTGTACTGGCATAGCAGGTATGGAGGGGGCTGTGCCAAACTTACTTGTTTTTTAAAAAAATCTTCCAGCTCACCTATTCCTACCAAGTTTTCTTGCCTGTTTCTTCCACGTCACCTACACGGAGCTGCAGCTGTGAAGCAAGCCAGGGCTAGCAGTCCTGAGCTGGACTTTGCACTTCTCACTGTGGAGCCTCCGTTTCCCCGTTGTGAAAGTGGGAAAGAGGATAATAACACCTACCTCCTTGGGGGGGGGGTCTCACAAGAACAGGACGGGGGAGGTCTGAGACCAGGGTCCACCTGTGGTGCTCCTCCTTTGACGCTGTGGCTGCCCTCCAAAGGAGAAGTCCATGCTCATGCATCGTGGGACTAGGGGGCCTGATGTGGTCTCCCCTTCCTGTGCCCACTGCTTCCCAAGCAGGGCCAGGGTGCAGGTGAGTCTCTGAGAGCCTCCTGACCCCACTGTGTGCCCGTGGCTCTCCTCCCGCCCTCCTGACTTCTCTCTCCTTGGCCAGTTCTTCGGTCTCCTTAGCCTGGACCCAGGCAACTGAGCTCAGTTGTGGCAGAGAACACTCATTGCCCCCTCAGTCACCTGACTTTGGATTTTAATTGTGATCTTAGGGTCAGACCTCGGGGAAGGGTCTGTAAATCACTTCAGAGTCAACCAGAAGCTGTAACGATTTCTTTATCTATTCCAAAGAGTTACAAAGAGAGAAGGACAGACAGAGAGGTCCTCTGTCCACTGGTTCACACCCCATGTGGCCTAGTCTCACTGCTCCTCACAGCCAGGTTAACTGAAAAGATTAGTCTGTGCTCTTGCTCACTGATTCAAATTTCTATCATTGCCATTGTCATCATTGAAAAATTTTTTAAAGATTTATTTATTTATTTGAAAGAGATACACAGAGAGAGGAGAGGCAGAGAGAGAGAGAGAGAGAGAGAGAGAGTCTTCCATCTGCTGGTTCACTCCCCAATTGGCCGCAATGGCTGGAGCTGTGCTGATCCGAAGCCAGGAGCCAGGAGTTTCCTCCGGGTCTCCCACACAGGTGCAGGGGCCCAAGCACTTGGGCCATCCTCTACTGCGTCGCAGGTCACAGCAGAGAGCTGGATAGGAAGTGGAGCAACCAGGACTCGAACCGACGCCCATATGGGATGCCAGCACTGCAGACAGCGGCTTTACCCGCTGCGTCGTCATCATTGAAATTTTAAGCATATTCTTGTGGCTTCCTCTCACTGACTCTATTCTCAGCCCCTCAAACTCAACAGATCTGAAGCTGCTCCCCCAGCCACTCTGAGGATCCTATTGTCGCTGGAGCAGTGCCCCATCCACCCAGCTGACTCAGCCAGGGCTTCCTCCCTCTCGCACCCTCTGCATCCATTTAAAATTTCCTGTGTTAGTTTTCTGCTTCATGACTACAACAGAACACCCGAGAAGAGCTGTGTAGGAAAGAAAGAGAAGCCTCTTTAGCTCGCAGTTTTGGAAGCTGGACATTGACATGGTTGGATGCAGGCTCTGGTGGAGGCCCCAGGGCAGACGGTCCAGGGACAGCATGTGCAGAGGAAGGATGCTGTGGAAGCAGAGAGAGGGGCGCAGTCCAAACTCAGGCTTTTAACAGCCCTCTCACAGCAACTGCCTGCTGAGGGGTCAGCACTGCCGCTGGGAAAGCGGCGGAGGACGGCCCCGGGCATGGCCCCTGCCACCCACGTGGGAGACCTGGATGGAGCTCCTGGCTCCTGGCTTCTGCCTGGCCCAGCCCTGGCTGTTGGCAGCCATCTGGGTTGTGAACCAACAGATGGAAGATCGATCAATCTCTCTCTTTCTCTCCCTCTGCCTTTCAAGTAAATAAAATACTCTTCTAAAAAAAACCTGCCTTCTAAGGGCCTGCTGTGAGTGACCTAGGAACCTGCTACCAGGCCCGCCTTCTGAAAGTGTCACCACCTCCTGATAGAACCAGCCGGGGGACCAAGCCTCTGACACGTGGGCCTTTGGGGGCCACTCAGTATCCAAACTGATATTCGAACCCTGGCATTCATCCCACTGCTGTCACCAGTGTTCATCACTATCATCAAAATACCGGAGGCAGCCTATCTCTGTAAAGAAACCAGGTTTATCTTGGCTCTGGAAGTTCCCAGTCCCTGATTAGGTGGGCACCACTGGTTTGGGACATGGTGACAGTGTTCCTGTTGGCAGAGTCCCGAGGTGGCACAGGGTATCACATGCAAGAGGCAGGGAGCACCAGGAGTCAATCATGGGCGCTCCACCCTGATGACCGAATCAAATCTAACCACTTCTGAAGGTCCCCACTCTGTGCACTATCACTGGATCACATCTCCTCTCTCAGTATTATTAACATTAAGACTCACATTTAAATCCCTGAATGAGTTTAGGGGTCAAATCCTACTCAAACCGTAGCAGCCCATCAGTGTTGATTTTTTTTAAGATGTATTTATTGGCCGGCGCCGTGGCTCAATAGGCTAATCCTCCACCTTGCGGCGCCGGCACACCGGGTTCTAGTCCCGGTCGGGGCGCCGGATTCTGTCCCGGTCGCCCCTCTTCCAGGCCAGCTCTCTGCTATGGCCAGGGAGTGCAGTGGAGGATGGCCCAAGTGCTTGGGCCCTGCACCCCATGGGAGACCAGGAAAAGCACCTGGATCCTGGCTCCTGCCATCGGATCAGCGCGGTGCGCCGGCTGCAGCGGCGGCCATTGGAGGGTGAACCAACGGCAAAGGAAGACCTTTCTCTCTCTGTCTCTCTCTCTCACTGTCCACTCTGCCTGTCAAAAAAAAAAAAAAAAAAGATGTATTTATTTATTTGAAAAAGTTACAGAGAGGCAGAGGCGGAGAGAGAGAGAGAGAGAGAGAGAGAGAGAGAGAGTCTTCCATCTGCTTCTTCATTCCCCAAATGGCCGCAACAGCCAAAGCTGTGCCAAACGGAAGCCAGGAGCCAGGAACTTCTTCCAGGTTTCTCACATGGGTGCAGGGGCCCAAGGACTTGGTCCATCTTCTACTGCTTTCCCAGGCCAGAGAGCTGGAGTGGAAGTGGTGCAGCCAGGACTCGAACTGGCTTTACCCACTGTGGCACAGTACCGGCCCCACTGTTGATTTACATCCCCATCTTCAGGTGCACCCGAGGAAGGCCTTGGTCCCCTAATTCCCCAGTCAGCTGTGACTACAGGAAGGAGAAAGATTTTGCACAATGGGGATAGGCTTGGGGGAAGAGGCAATGACGCAGAATCCAGTCATTTTACAAGTCTCTCTCTCTGTAACATTTATTTGTTTGTCTGAAAGAACCACAGAGAGAGAGGGAGAGAGATATTTCCCATCCACTGGTTCACTCCCCAGATGTCCGCAATGGCTGGTGCTGGGCCAGGTCGAAGCCAGGAGCCAGAAGCTTAGACCAGGTCTCACATGTGGGTAACAGTGGCCCAAATGCTTGGACCATCTTCTATTGTTTTTCCCAGGCCATTAGCAGGGAGCTGGATCAGAAATGGAGCAGCTAGGACTTGAACTGGCAACCATATGGGATGCTGGAGTCACAGGCAGCAGCTTTACCTGCTACACCACAATGCCAGCCCCAATGTCTCTCTTTTTTTTAAAAGACTTTATTTATTTATTTGAAAGGCAGAGTGACAGAGAAAGGAAGAAACAGAGAGACAGAGAGAGAGAGGGAAAGAAAGAGATCATCAATCCGCTGGTTCACATCCCAAATGGCTGCAGTGGCCAGGGCTGGGCCAGCCTGAAGCCAGGAGCCAGGAACACCATCCAGGTCTCCCACACCAGTGAAGGGGCCCAAGCACTTGGGGCATCTTCTGCTGCTTTCCCAGGCATATCAGCAGGGAGCTGGGTCAGAAGCAGAGCTACTGGGACTTCAACCAGCACTCCCATATGGGATACTGGCCTTGGAGTGGCTTAACCCACTGTGCCACAACATCAGCCCCTACAAGTCTCTTCCTAAACTGGAGGTATGGTGTGACAAGAGTGGGTGTCGTTACAGCGGTGACTGCCCAGAATCGTCTCGAATGTGGACTCTACTGGAAAGTCTTCAGCGTATCATCTGTTTTATCCCACCGGTACTTTCATCTTCTGATGCCAACTTCCAAATTGGTCTGGTACGGCCGAGATAACTAGTGAGGGTCAGGCAAGGAGCCAAGATATCATAGCTGAAGCACACATTTGACATAACGAGGCGGGCTGACCACAGGCTCTGCTGCTGCTTTTACAGGCCCTCTGGTGTCCTTAAAAGGCCTTGGGTTGGACCTCAGTTGCCCCCTCCTGCTCAAGTGTGACTTTGGGGAACTCTTCCCCAACCTGATTGCTTCATCTGCAAAATCCCTGCCATGGGTGTTAGAGCATCGCATGAGATCTTGGCAACCTCTCTCTGTCTCAGCCTCTGCGTCAGTCAATGGAGGATAATAGTCCAAAGCAAAAGGCATGGCCAAGCAGAACTGCTCAGCACGTGTTAGCTCTTGGATGGCAGGCATTTGACCTATCAGTTAAGGAGCTGCTTGGGATGTCCACATCCCATATTGGAGTGCCTGGGTTCCAGTCCTGGCTCTGTTTCCAATCCCAGCTTCCTGCTAATACTCATGCTGATGGCCCAA